CGGAGGCGGGATAGAGCGTAGGGGGCTGGCACGGCGAAAAAGCCCTCACCTAGGCGCGCCAACACACGCTCCAGTCCTACACACAAGCCACTAGGATTTATCACAACACGGAACGGGAGATACTCGGATCCCAACTCAGTGGGAAGGCAATGAAGACCACATTAAAGAGGGTCGCTGTAGTCTGACTCTCGGCCACTCCACACAAACACACGGTAGGCTGACTGCGAGCTCAGAGTTGGGTCGTCAGCTGGCAATCTTCAAAGACACGGCTTTTAGCTCACCGTGATAGCTTCAAGCACGTCTGACTGGTTAAAGTGAGGAAAATGCCCTGAGAGTCGACGTCATGTGTATAATGTATGTTGTGCAGATTGAGCAAGGAATAGTGATGAGGACTGAACAACTGAGTCTTAATAATGATATTCGTGAATGAGCACGTAGTCAAATAAGCCCACGCGGCGGGTGTATCTTGGGGCACCGGATCACCGGTCGCAATGCAATGGGTTCTCAAGTGACCGACCAGGTCAGCGTGATGCAAATGTGCGGTCGCCATGAGGACGATTTGGGACAAAGTCCTCATTGCAGGTTTTGGAGCTGTTGGTTGTGAGGAGGAAGAGATATCAGGTAGGTGGGACTAATTCCGCGACGTAGCTAGTGATTGTCCGTGCGGAAATTTATGTTACAGCAGCAGATGCAGAGATGTCCGACCAGTCTGATGCGGACTCAGAATGTCAGTTGGAAATGCGGGCATGTGGGTAGGTGTTGGATATATACAGAGTTGATCTGTGATATTCGAACTTTGTACATCTCCCTCTCCTGTCTGTTCGCTTCTAAACGATGGAGTTCGTGGGTGGTGGATCTAGTTCTGACGGCGGTGCGCCACGCCTGTCGTTATTGAGCGAACTTTTTCTAGGTCGCATAGTTGACTTATAGGTGTTTAAAGGAAGCTTTCCCGTTGCCCTTAAAGGATACTTTTGTCCGCCTCGTCTGAAATCACCCATAGTCGATCGTAATCTTTGTTTCTGCATCTCTTGGAAGAGTAGGACGAAACCTGTCCATGAGTTGTGAGTCACCATATTTACAGATCTCAGCTGGGAGTGAATCAGCTCCCGTGCTTTGTCTTCCTGTGGCCCAATCGTGATGGGGGCTCTCAGGTCTTTGAAAAAATTGTTTTCACGTCGACAGAGTCGCTCAGGACAGGGAGTGTGGGCCCTGATGAAATTCAAGCAAAAGATACTTCAAATAAAAGTAAACTTTCTCTTCAGGAGTCAGCAAATATCCGGAAAAATCAAGTAAACAGCAGTTCAAAGGTACAGAGTCTCGTCCTGAACCCGACTCCCAAAGCGGAAAATTTCCTTTTTAAAAGTGCTTTGCGGTCTCCTTGCTATAAAGAGAAGTTAATGAACAGTTACATTTTTCACATATTCGTAAGAATGGAATTTGTCTAATTTCTGCTGCATAACACCATCTCCTGAGGATGGAGTATTAACTTTTAAGTGGTTCGGCCGTATAGTGTTAGCTTAGCATGTTTATGCCTAAAGGAGTATCGAAGCCAAGGGAACTTACGAGTTCATTTCCCAAGCTCGGCATTTCTGTGCAATTTTGTAATTTCCTCATAAGTGTAGTTAGGACGCAAAGCCCGAGAAGAGAGTCATAACCCACTTGCTGGCTACGCGAGTTACCAACTTCACATCTTGCTTTGACGTCCTTACAGCAACATCCGGCTTGAATCCTTAGCACGATTAAGGGCAGAGCAAAACTTCGCACATGCATCGGTCGTCTTTTCTGGCCGTAAAGTAGGACATACCTCTTACATGCTTGTCACGTACGTCCTGTAATGCCTGTGCTAAGTAGTGGAACATTTGCCTGCCCAAATACTAGTTTTTGAAAGAAGACCAAAATTCGGGTTTCTCTAAAAAGGCAGCTAGGCATTTGCACAAAACCCACTATCCTGTTACTAATTCCATCGGAATAAGTAGCCGGCAATCAAGCTAAGGCTGGAACAGTTACCATTACAGGAGCAATCGCGGTGACATCGAAGCGATTCTAATATGCTAACAGCCCCATTGTGAGAAGACATTAATACTATTCCAAGAATTGTGCTGAGTGGCTAACAAGTATAGGAATTATCAATCTTTCAATTGCCTCGGAAAATCTTCAAACTACTGTTGTCGCAATTTGTAATTTCCTTTTTGGACGCTTTGTCAGTTTTTCTCATGAAAATGCTGTTTAAAAATTATAGAGGGCTGTGGAGGAGCCTCTGATCGTCGGGTTTGTGTAGTTACTTCTTGTCATCCTATTTAGAGTAGCTGTATCCAAAGCATTCAAGAATGACACTCCTGCGAGGGAACTCAACGGTAACAGCGTTGTTCCATTTTCTCCAACCTAGAATGCGACTGGTGACTATGTAACCCCTCCGTCATTTGCTGTGTTTTATTAGTGATCGAATTGTTCGTGTTATTAAATCTGGCTTCATCAACCCACTTTGAGCTTTCTAGGGCATAAAGTACAATTCCTAGTCCACACTTCGTGATTCAAACAGAATACAAGGTACATGTTTTGTGTTCACGACTAATATTCGGATGGCACAGTGCGATGTCATACAGTAGCGTTTATTTCGAACGTTTCCCGGTCTCGTAACAAACTCCTTAACCAACTAGTTTAAAGGTACTGTTGCCAGATTATGTAGATCACTTACCTACCTCAAGCATACAAATGTTCCGTCAAATGATTTTCCAATCCATTTGTGGACTTTTACCGCAGTCGACTCAAAACTCAGTAAACTTCGCTTTTTTAGGAAAGAGATTTAGTCGCAGACTTTCTTGCTGAATACCTCTGCAACTTAGGTGAGATACCTTAGTTGACCTTCTAGGCGCTCCAGAAGCCTACCAGCTGTTCCTCACCTCTTAGAAAACGAGAAACTTCTTGTTAGAAAATGATATATCCACCCCGTTAAAGGATTAGTAGCAGGTTCTGGCCTATGACCCAGTGAGATATATGTATGGTTAACTAAATGGCGAACAACTGGCCTTTTAAGTTACTCTGGACGTCGATGAGTCAGAATGTGTAAAGAGGGCACTACTTAGACATGAGAAGATGTCAGATCGAAATATTAGCACTTATGAAAGAGTTCGACTTTTGAACAAAAATTTGCTGCCGTCAGTCCCTCAAATTTCTGGTATTATACTTTAGCAAATGGCGTCTGATCAGGCGACTGGAGCCCAATGTGAGATCAAAATTCTTCCTTGGCGCCATAAATCTCTGAACCTCCGTACGGATGAACACGCACTCGACTGATTGGGCCACGGAGTCAAATCATTCTTAAAACTACGGAAGCAGCCGCCTCACACCCTGGCTTGTGATCGCACTGAGCATATGCCCTGGAGGACTTGTATGACATCTCAGCGCGTAAAGAAACCCCGGATATTTGACATATGGTAATATTTTTTTCATTTTGCTACCAAATGAGGAGAGCGAAGAAACGCTCTATCCTTCAAGAGTTCCCGAGTTCTAGGAGGGTGTCCAAATCACGTTTCTTACCTGTTATTACAAAAATGTTATCAAAACATCGGACACAGGAACCAAGGTCCCTTATAAATGAATAGAGTTGGCTCTTCTCTAGTTATCCCAAGAAGACATCTACTAGTAGGAATCTAAGAGGTGCTCTCATCGCTAGTCCGTCAATCTGGTGAGATGGAAACTGAACAGAACATTCAATATGCAGCGAAAAACAGCTCTTGTAGGATTACGATCGGTATGTCAACTGGGACACCCTGCATAACAACCTCGTTACATAAACATTCCATCGTCTCCATGAAGGGAATATTGGTAAATAAAGACAGGATATCTAAGGACAACATTGGTTCCCCTGTATGTCATTACCGACAAAGACAAGGGAGACTGGAATGGCCATTTCTGACTCATCAGCTGTTGTCAGCCAGTCAGACCCAACCCCGAAGTGCGGAACATCCGAGGCTCGAACTCGCGACCTGCTAGTTAGAAGTCCACGTCTCTAACCACTGGGCCACGAGACCGTTGTCCTGTCGGTTTCGATCATGCGCCTCTGTGCGGCTGCTGGTTGGACTCGAGCGAGTGCCCGTAAGGCGCAACGGAACGAGTGAGTTCTGTAAGAACGATCGGTGAACGCTCCTTACCATTGTTCCCTCTATTTCGATGGATGCATCAAACCCTTATAACACTCTGTTCTTAATACTTAACTGGCTAAACAAGATTTGCGCTGTCCTCCATTTGACAGTCCTCCATTTGTTCAGTCTTCATCGTTAGTGTGGGTGCCAAATAAAACACGTTTGTAAGTTCCACTAAAATCGCAGCTACAAATGAGGGCGTTTGGTGAAAGGGACCTTGAACTCATTCAGACGAGATAAACCAAACCGTTGGCAGAACCTGAGTTCAGCCTCGAATCCTAATTTAGATCGCGGAAATTCGGGTTAATTCTTTGCTTATAATGTGCTAACGGGCAGGATTTTGGGCGTCATGGCTGTTCGTCTTCTTTGCAGAAGAAACTGACAACCCTTTGACAAAGGACTGTTGTCTGTGAGGCTTAGACACTTGAGGAGGCCGGTGTACCGAGCCTAAGTGGCGGGAAAACCTTCAATGCAAAGACTCGGCAATCACAATACTCGACACAGACCTATTGTCAGATACAAGCCACTTGAATGGCTCGTGCAGCGTCTTGGCGAGGGCGGAGGAGGTATGAACTGTCTACAGAAGATTCATTCAGTCTATTGCACATATCTAATCCCTTATTCCAGGCAAAGGTGGTGGTTGTAAACTAGTCAACTTAGTCGCTAAACGTACTATTAATCTCTTAACGAAATCTGACCCATCCTAGAGATGCAATAAGGGCGCAAAGGCAAATTCGTAAGCGCTAAACATCCCTACGCTCCTGGTGAAGTCCTTCAACACCATAAACCTTTTAAGTCTGTAGGAGTGGCAGGAAGGCAAGATGTCGAGGCTAACCCCTGCACTGGAGTGAGAGAATGTCAATGACGGAGCAGAAGCGATGTAGCCTCCTGGTGGCGGAAGCGATTTAAGTCGGCATAATCACGCTGGCGATAATTATCACAAGCAGGCCGCCGCCGCCGCGCTGACACAATCAAAGGGAATTTCGGCGCAAAATTTACTGTTGGTGGACCACAGAGGGGGGAGGAGGAGGAGGAGGAGGAGGAGGAGGAGGAGGAGGAAGGTGGAAACGGAGGTTGGATGCTGCCACCTCGACTCCTCAGGCTGAGAACTGACGGGGGATTTGCAGAGTTACTGTCTGAACACATCTTTGACGGTTTGAGGGGAGGTGGGGGTGCAGAAGTGTTGCGAAAAATATTTCCGGAATTTCGAATTCCTGGCGCAGGCGTCCTCCTCATACCGGCTGTTCGAGCTCTGTCTCTCACACTATGTAGCGCCAGTCGCGTGCTTCTTTAGATTTCGTTCTGAATACTCTGAGCGACTGAGCCTTCTCATAGTCCTTGCAAAATTACTGCGAACGGTAGATCCTGGAAGGCATAATAATCACATCGAAAAGTAAAAAGTTACTTTATGTACCTCAGTTAACCCGTATTTTTTGTCTAATAAGCCTCGTATGCCTACTAATGCTACATTTGCTCAATTTATAATGGTACTGATGTACGTTTATGTTTCCTAATAGTTTTTTTAACAGGCTAAAAGTGTTGGGTGCATTATTTGTGGTGAAGCATATGGCTACCGTCAGCTTAGGTTCAGTTGATCGTCATAGTTGTAAATTTTCGCGAAATTAGTAACTGCCCACACACCACTCGGAGACAACTCGCCAGGCTAGTTTAAGGTTTGTACTTCTGCGACATTTGTCAACACATCTGATTCTGGTCTTTTTGACGGCCGTCTCATCAAATGGAATTACTAGGGCCTAATCTGTGATTGCTTTGAATTCTCGATCAGGTCATCTTGTCAGCGACATTATATTGGACAGATCAAACCATTGTTCTGTCGTACATGGGAACTGCTTTTTCTCATCTCTTCAGGTAATCAGTCTTACCATATTTTTCAGTCTTCGTCATTTCGTGGTTCCGTCACCGTTTGTTTTGTGCAAGTGTTCACTTCAAAGGCCACACTTTGGTCATTTGTTGGAGATTGAAACTCCCGTAAGATAAGGTCTACGTTCTACTCTACCTACATACTTAAACTCAATGAATCACTTATTGACGGTGCATACTGTGACCTGAAAATAAATGGATATGGGTGAGATTGACGCACGGAAAGAGTATCCGCCCTATTACTTCGTGCATTCCACAAATTGCTTTGTTTTCTCGGACTCCGTTTTCATGTCTGCCAGCCGGATCGGCCCAATAAAGTCCTGCGTCCTGATAGTGACTGGTTGTAGTAATGGAGCGTGGACCCTGGTGACTGACTCCACCCATCTCTCTGACTCACCCTTGTCCCCCTTAGCCCCTACTTCTCAGGCAAGATTGTCGTTGCATGCACGGTTGGCCTTTCCTACCAGCTTTCAGGTAAGAGAATTCACAATCAAATATACGTCTCATGCGGTCGACTAACTTCCAGAATTTACTGTTGGGCTTTTTAACTGCGGCACCTCTACCGCAAATTTGCCCGAATTTTCTTCCTACGACAGGCTATTGGGTTAACACAGCATGTTAACACATATCGGACATTTCTGCCAGTTCCAAATTAGAGACGGCCACAAAGATATGTTTCGGCGAGTTTCTGCATCACCAGTCTGCCTCGTGCTGTTTTCCTTCACTAGCTCGATTCAAAACTAGGCCGACGTGAATTGTCCAGACCATGTGCATGCTTCCTGCTGCATGCGCCGCGGGCAAAAACGACGCAGGGGGAGAGACAGACGGAAGACGTCTCCTTCTCCTTCCTTCCCCAATCCCTCCCCCGCCGATGGCCCTATGAAGTGTTCCCACAGCGGCGCCACAGCATTCGTCAACCGCCCACAACACCCACTAATCTGTCCTCGCAACGGGGCAATGACTGTACAACAGCAGCGCAGGCAGTCGATGTCTCCACCTACCTTCTGAGTGTTGCGCAACTGACAGGGCTGGGGAACCGCCAGCAAGCAACGCCGCTCGCCAAAACAACCGTATTACGTGTGCATTGGCATTATATGATGCTCCACCCTGCCCTTTGCCCTAATATATCATAAAGCATGAACACGAAGATGACCGTTTGTATATCTGCCACGACGCCGAGGTAGTTAACCTACTTGAAGTCACCTGGACATCGGATGTGCGGGAGTCTGGGTTTGTTGACTGCAGCAGTCAGAGGGATATTCGTTATGCGTGGGAGGACCTTCGTTAACGGGTCGCCTTGTTACTTTCGACTTAGATGGAGGTAGGGGGAATAAGACAGATGTACGACGGACGCTGGAAAAGGGCTCTACCATACCACAACAGCCGCTGCCCTCAAGATCGTCTTCGGACCTTTTGACCCGGAATGGGCAGCGCTACGTGACAGGAGAGAGGACAAGACAGGGGGAAAAAACGTGAAATTATTTTCCATTATGCTGATTCAGTGCTTACTCGCCCTCTTATAGACAAGCTATTGCGCTTTCAAAATAGCCCGAAACGCTAAAAGTGGCAGTGGTCGACTGATGGGTTAGCTCAGTTCCCATCCGGACCGCGCTTAAAGTTGCAGTCGCATATTTTTCACATGGCTTTTACGTTTGAGCCATTTGAAGTTCAGTTCTTGCACATGTTAGGGAGTCGAAATGTGTGTGACACGCAGAGGCGTGAATTTTACGCCAAGTCAGCCATTCCGTTTATGCCTATCTCCAGACGGCTAAATCGCGTGCCACGCTAGAGGAGCTTGAGGGGCAATAGACAGAGCGAGAGCGAGAGATAGAGAGAGGCGTATTCTGCGCAACTTCACCCCAAGTAAATTCACAAGTAAGTCATCCTTGCGGCCCCGTAACGATGGTTATCTCTAGCAAAAAACTGAACGATATACAAGTGCGGCCTCGGTGAAGACTTTGTAATCCTTTGAGATAACTTACAAAACAAATTCTGACACAGGTTAAGGTACTCAGGAATGCGGATGAGCAGAATGCAAACAGAAATTGTCGACACCAATTCGCCCAGGGTTGTGGAAGGGAGCGAGCGTTTCTTGCAGCCCCAAAACCACTGATTAGGACTTCGCTTATAGACAGAGTGCCTCTATCATGCGCCACCGTGCGGCTGCTGGTTGAACTCGAAAGAGAGCCCTAAGGCAAAACGGGTCGAGTGAGTTCCGTAAAAACGATTGACGAACGCCTTTACCATTGTATATTCCGATCGCAACCGACAGGACAACGAGCCGGTGACTCAGTGTTTGGGGCGTTGGACTTCTAACCAACAGGTCGCGGGGTCAAGCCCCAGGTGTTCCGAACTCCTGAGTTGGGCATAGCTGACTGACGACGGCTGATAAACTGGAAATGGCCATTCTATTCGCCCTTATCTTTGTTGGTAATATCATTCTAGTATATTTTCCAGATATATTGGGCAGACAGAAGCAAAAAGGATTAACAAATGTCAGCCTACGATCAAAATGAAAACGGTTTCAGAGAAGGAATAAGTAGCACTGAAACACTTGACGGGTTGTCTTGCATGCCTAAGAGTTCTGATGACGTTAAATTTTGTGATATTAAGGCCATAACTTTCATCAAACGTGTCTCGTGAAGTAAATAATGAAGTCACTTCTGAAAAATACGCAGGATTCTGTGCATTCAATGAGTCCAGCCTCAGCTACTGACAAGCCTAAACGCAGTGTCCACTCGTAGGCCGACTCCAGTCTGTAGTTTGTTCTAGAGCGTATGGAGCTAAATAACACTATCTGAAGTATTCATGCGAAGAGAGCCAACGTTTTGTTCACTGCTGCATCACCTTCGCGTGCGAAATTACATTTAATCCCTTCCGTACAAAACTGTAGGCGGTAGTTAGCAAAACTGCCACGATTGTTTTATTTGCATCCCGAGCACTAATAAATGTCTCAGATACTGACCAATACTTGGGCATATAAACCCTGTCGAGCAGCATAAGGGAGGAATGTGAAAGAAACATAAAGATAATTGCTTAATTTACTTGGAAAAAAGGAGTAAAAATCAGTGGGACGCAGTCATTTGCCGAATTTGTTTCGTGACTAGTGAATTGAAAAGTCTCGTTTTGGGCAGAAATATTCACAATAGTAACCGCAATGAATACATGATGGGGCGCACAGCCGTCTTTAACGACGTCAGAAGTGGAGCTTTGGCTAATTCTTTGTGAAGGGCGTGTCGTTAGGTGCTTGCGGGAAACCCTGGTGTAAAGACGTCGAAGGCAGAACACTTCGTTCGCCAAATGTCGCCTAGTAGATTAGAATACTTATTCCCAATGTTTAAGGGGACTGTTGGTAGGATGCCTTCCATCCAAAATGATGTCTGTGTTCATTCGAAAGAATGCATAAATTTTGACGAAGGCTTAATTTGTCAGCATCAGCGCATACCGCAAATGACTCTCAACTGTCGAGGATTGCCGCGTACTGCGAACTTCAAATGAATAAAAAAATTGCGCTGAAATCACTTGTGGCAGTGTGTGCGGATAGCTGCAAAGACCAGAGTTCAACGTTTAACTCGCAATTGCTAAGGCATGAAAACCTTTCATAACAATGGGATAAAGGACATGGAATATAGCGCACTGTGTATTTGGATCATTAGGAATGCAAACTTCGAAAGAAAATTGATAAACTAATATTATCAAACCGGAGTATTACAAAAGAACACGGCTCTGAAATCAACCGGGTAAACTCCGAATGGTGATCAGATTTCCTTCTTTGAACAAGCATGCTTTAACTTCTCGAATATGCGTTTCTTTCACATATGTCCTTGGATCCCAGTGTTCTACCTTATGTAACGTTCATCCCACCTGGTGCTCTGGAAGTCCTCTCATTATAGTGAACCCGAATAACGGCTCCATGCGTTTGAGTTGAAGGCCGCATAGGAAAAACGTGCACTTTTCAACCAAACAAAATCAATACGTATTCCATGCGTTTACGTATCAGCACTTAACGATTGTCTTCTGAAAATATTTCTGGATAAATTCAGCTTTTTATTCATGCGATTCTTCACTTATATTACCCGTGATTTCCGATTTCGAAATGATGACATGCCGACTTTACTATCATTATCCTTCCCCATTATCGGTGGTTGTATCTAGTTATTCATGGGCAAAGTCACCTTTACTGTTGTTATTTTTGTTTTTCTTATCGCTTCCCACGGCTGGATTATGCTGAAAAATCGGAAGCGTTGCTCATCAATCTGATCTGA